AAAATAACTTTGTTTTCATATTCAAATAATTTTTACTTATATTTTCTATTCAATTCTTTTTTGAATAGGATTATCATTTGCATAGAGCAAGGAGATATAATATTTCAAAGCCTCTAAATTAGTGTGATTTTATTCGATTTTTAAATTTGGTTCGTTTAAAATTTTAGCCAAAATAAATCCTAAAGATTTTTCTAATAGGTGGCAAGAATATTTGGATCCCTATTTGCTAATCATGAGCGTTACATTATTTTATTTTGGTTAAAATCTTAATCGGGATATTTTTACAAATCGGATCGTCTATCAACACTACTTTGAATTACAACCCTTTGCTATAAACTTTTGTGTATTTCTATTTAAAGTGTAGGCACGGCCTAAATTGTATATATAGTGAAGGGCGACATGAGCGCCACACAGCAATAAACAATAAACCTTGTAATAAATTGAACATTCTCCCACATTCCGAACCATCTTGAGAAAAATTTATATCAAGTTGATGACTTATTACCTGATGATATGACAACCATACCTTGGGCTTCGTAAAATCACTAATATGGGATAACATGCACGTCTCTTCATTCCCTTCTAACATATATATCAATCCTCTAACATAAGCAAAAACAAAAAAGATCGACAAATACAAAAATTTTAACAACTTCTTATTTACCCCAATAGTGACCACAAACGAACACTATTTGTCATTACCTATAAGTTTTTAAAAAATATAGGTTCAAAAATCCGACTTTTTACAAAAGATAGAGAATTTTTATATATATACTTAAAAAATTAATATATAAATTTTTATGGTTCATTTTTTGGGAGAACACAATTATTAAATTCTAATTTAATTTTTATAGATTTTTAATATTGGTGTTTTAAATATTATCGTAGAAATTTTTAAAAAAGTATTTAATAAATATAAAATAAATAAAAAAATATAAATAAAGATCCTCAAAATATTAATTAGAATAAATTATAAGTAGTTTATTACAAAATGATCTGAAATTTATGTTAGTATATAAACGCGCTGGAATATATTTAGGATCAAATCATATTTTTCAAAATTTAAAATTCGCCGCAAAAAAATTGGAAAACTTAGAATCTCTTGCTATATAACAAATTATCAACGGCTTCTGCTACCACTCGTTATTAAATTAAGATAGATAAATTTTTTATAAAATGTAATATTTGTTATATAAAAATTATCTTACGGGAAGCGCCTTCTGCTACGACTTGTCCTTAAATTAACATATACAAAATTTAAAAAAAATGTATTTGCTATATAACAAATTATCAGCGACTTCTGCTACTACTCGTTATTAAATTGAGATAGATAAGATTTAAAAAATGTAATATTTGTTTTATAACAAATTATCTTACCGGGAGCGCCTTCTGCTACCACTTGTCCTTAAATTAAGATATACAAAATTTTAAAAAATGTATTTGCTATATAATGAAACGAATTATCAGCGACTTCTGTTACTACTCGTTATTAAATTGAGATAGATAAGATTAAAAAAAATGTAATATGTGTTTTATAACAAATTATCTTACCGGGAGCGCCTTCTGCTACCACTTGTCCTTAAAATAATTTATACAAAATTTTATAAAATGTAATTGCTATATAACGAATTATCAGCGACTTCTACTCGTTATTAAATTGAGATAGATAAAATTTAAAAAAAAAATAATATTTGTTATTTACAGTGAAACGATACACATGTTTAAATATACTATAAAAGGGGGTAAACAAAATAAGATTTTATTTTTAATAGAATAAAGATTGAAATTAAATATGGACAAGCAATTAATTAAGAAGATTAATAGTTGATTAATCATTATAAAAAAAATGTGTAATTTGTGATGAAAAATGAATTTTTTTTTTTATTTTCTTTGAGAATGCTCAAGTAAGATATTTGATTAAATTTCATTTAAAATTCTAAATCATTTTTTGTAAAAAGTCTTTTTAATATTTTAGAATTTCTTAAATGTAATCTATTTTGTATATCCATTTATTTCGATAAAAATATGATAACACTATAAACTTTTATAATAATTTCGATAAAATAATTAATACATAAAAAATATAATTATAATTTATCAAAATATTCCATTGTTCCACGAATTTGATGTTGGTACCTTTTTAGAAATTAAAAGAGTTAATATTATAATTATTAATACAAATCGATTATAAAGATTACCTAATTAATCAGTTGCCCGCGATAACCCAACTCCAAATAGCTTTGCATGTGATTGTAAAAGTTAGTGAAATCATAAGGAATAAATCCGTGTAAGAGTTGAATAATATTCCTAACAATTTCATCTCTTGAATTAGGGCGGGGATTGATTGCTCTAAATTTATTTTTCAAAACTCCAAAAAAATTTTCAATGGGATTTAACTGAGGTGAATAAGGTGGTAGGTATTCAATCCTACCTTTATAAGAATCGATAAGATGGCTTCTATGGATAGATGCATTATCCATTACAATGATTGCATCTGGTGGTAGGATACTAATAAGCTCCGTCATAGAATCACGGAATAATAGCCCATTATAAGCTCCGTCTATTATTTTATAATGAATTACCCCTCCAATTCCGATTGTACAAAGGATACTTACATTTTTGCCCTTAGAGGATGGGATTTTTATTATTGGACGGACATTGTATGGCGCCCAGGCGTAGATTGGTACAACATGCAAGTTTATTCCAGTCTCATCTAAGAAATATAAATTTTCTCTTGGGATATTTAAGATCTTTGCACAATAAATTTGACGAATATTAATAGCCCCGGGAGTATTTCTTCTATCAGGCTCCTTGCCAGCCCTTTTTTTAGACCAACCAATATTTTTAATATATTTACTAATTGTGGTTTTTGTTTTTGGACTACCAGGAGGTAACTTTTCTATTATCTCCTGAATAGTCAAAGTGTTATTATCCATTAATAGGCTTATGATACTTCTTTCAATAATGGAAGAATCTTTCTTTTTACTTCCTCTTTTTTGAATATTATATTCCTTTAAAGGATCTCCATTTATTTCTGGGAATGTATCCCGTCTAAATTTGTGAACAGATGCAGTAGACATTTCGACATATTTTGCTATGTCTTTTATTTTCATTTGTTGTTTTTCCGGCATTGATAACATTTTGGTAACTATATCTAATTTTTCTTTATTCCAATATTTGTGTATTCTTTTTGGTCTTTGAATTCTCGACGAAGATTGGGAGTTTTCATTTAAATTGGAAAAATTAGTATTACTATTGGATAATAAAGATTCTATATTAAACATTTTTTTTTATTATTTAAGAAAAATTAAAAATAATTAATATGTAAGTATTTTAATTTTTTATTTTGAATTAAATTTTAACACATTTTTTTTATAATGATTAATCAACTATAAATCTTCTTAATTAATTGCTTGTCCATATTTAATTTCAATCTTTATTCTATTAAAAATAAAATCTTATTTTGTTTACCCCCTTTTATAGTATATTTAAACATGTGTATCGTTTCACTGTAACAAATTATTTTACTCGTTAAATTGAGATATTTAAAAAAATATATTGATTCTTTTTATAATTCTCAAAAATCATTTTAGTTGATTAGTATTTCGCATTTTGCCAGTCACAATAAACATAACTATAAATTTGATGATAAAATAATTAAGAATGCATCTAATATAATTACATATTTTATTCACGTTAATATAATCTATCTCTTTGAATATCACTTTTATGAATTTTATATTTAAAACATATTTTTCATCTATTATTATTATAGTGTTTTTTATATATAAATCATTTTAATATTATAATAAATGTAAAATTGAATTATTTAAAATATTTTCCCTACCCCCTCTGTATTTGGATCTTTGATTTTTTAAAATAAATTTTCAAAATAAATTTTTAAAAAAATTATTCAAATCTAAAATGATCGAAAAACTAATTTCAATTATACAGAAGTTGTAATAATTTATATAATTTTAAATCTATTGAGAATCTTTTTTTATCTTAATCTTACTTAAATTTATTTTCTCTCATTGTTGTTTTTAGGAATAGAAATTATTTTTGAATTTATCAATGAAAAACTTTTCTATATTCCTAAAATATAAAAATGAACACTTGAATTCTTAAATAAAATTGGATGCAATGTCAAATTTAATTTTAAAGAAAATGGATGGCTATTAAACCTGGATTATTGAGGATTGTATTTACTAATAGCTGCACAAAATCTAAATTTATATTAAATAAATAGTAATTATGTTAAATAATAAAATAAAATTCACAGTTTTTTGTAAATTCAAAATTATATATTTAAACTTTCAATGAGAGGCCCAACATTCTCTATATATATTAATAAAGAATCGTAAAATTATATAATCTAAATATATATAAAAAAATTTATAAATAGTAACTTCTAAGAAAATGCTAGGATAGTTACATCATGTATGAATAGCAAATATAATGATTTCTATAAAAGATGCATTTTTATTTTTAAAAATAATTGGTATAATAAAATAAAATTCACAGTTTTTTATAAATTCAAAATAATATATTTAAACGTTCAATGGCCTCATTATTCTCTATATATGTAAATAAAGAATCATAAAATTATATAATATAATTTAAAATAAATTTGATATATAGAAATTTCTAAGAAAAAGCCAGGATAGTTACACCATGCAAGAATAGCGAATATAATAATTTCTATAAGATGCATTTTTATTAAAAAAAAAAAATACTTATTATAAAGCACACTTCATATTCAAAGCCTATTTTATATTTCGATTTTATGTTCCAAATTGCATTTAGATAATTAAAGCAAAATTTAAAAAATTATTGTACATATAAATTATACGTTCTATTCCTTGCAAAAACTCATCTAAATTTTCTTTATTTTTGGAGGTAGAATTGAAGAATTATATAAAATTTTACCTAAAGATTTAGGAATATCTCTTGCTTCTATAATATAAAATATTATACCATTTAATCGCAATTCTTTCTTTAAAAAACTAGAACCCTGCAAATTCTTTATGTTCTTTTTCAATATTTATAAGATGCTGTTAGTATTCTATGTTTTTTAAAAAATACAGTGTGTGTCAGAAATTTGACACTAACACTGATAAAAAAAGTTATTTATAAATAAATAAATACATAAGATTTGGAATAAATTTAGAAATAATTTATGAAGTTTATAAAGAAAATATATTATATACTAAAGGAGCAAAAATTAAACTTAATTTTATAAAATTGTTATATTAAATATACTTTTCTTTCTATTTTCCTGTTGTATTATATATTTAACGATAGGCTTGTTCATTCGTGCAGTTTTATACATTATTATATAGGTTCTATTTCTTCCTGCTATTTTATTATTTTCAAAAGATACAAATTAAACATTTTAAATAAAATAATTTTATTTTTAATGAAATAATGAACTTTTGACTTAATTAACAAAATCAATTCGACTAGTTCAACTAACTAATAAATGCCTCATCTTACGAGTAAATAACACCTCATCTTACAAACTTGAGAAACATTTTTTAGTATTTAAATCTTTAGACTTAACCTATATTTGAAAATAATTTTATTTCCTTGATATTAATGTTAATATCATTTACAAAATACATGTTAAAAAATTTTGCATAATATTTAATCAAACCTTCAGTTTTGGTGGGTATATGATTACTGGCTATCACAAATACGATTATACTGCAATTAAGTTTTGATATTTTCCCATTTTTTAGAGATTCTAATTAAAATATTTTTTTTTATATTAGTAAGATAGATAAAGGCCTGATTTTGCTATATGGCATACATTAAATCACAATCTTATAATACAGTCTTATAATTCTTTCTATAATATTATATAATCCTCTCAAATTATTTTATTTAGCAAAAACAATTAATTTTTATTTTAACTAACTAAGTACTATCTTATTAAATTTCTATATTATTAAATATTTAGTAAAATAAAATAGACTTTTTTTTCTTAGACTAAAAAAATTTGATTGGTTTTTTATAAACTTCTTTCTGCCTTGAATATTTTTATTCTTGGAATAAATAAATTTACATTCTTTAAACCCAAAAATGTTTTAAGAATTAGTTTTATTTAATTCAAATTTTTCATCATCGGCATTTATAAATTTATCTTTATTTATTTGTTAAAAGTTCGGCATTAATATAAAAAAAAGTCTCATTTATTTAATTCTTGAGAGTTACAAGGAATAAATTGAATCTCTACTATTTCCATTTGATAGTAATGTAATTACTAAAATATATAAAAAAACACGAAAATCTGGTGAACATTGAGATAAATTTATTAGGAAAACAATGAGTGAGATGATTATTCATATTTTTTAAAATTTCAATAGATGTGTAGCAACAAAAAAAATTTTTTAGGCCCCCAAATTTGGCCCCCAGATAAAATCTTTGGCCCCCAAAATTTTAATTCAATATTTTTATATTTTTAAAATAAATTTTAAATATTTAATCACAAAACATGTCTAGTTTTTTAATTTTTTTCTATTCTGTGTTATTTTTATCCAATAATAAAATCATTCATTCATATTTTATCATTTTCATGTGCGTATGTGCCTATAACATTATATAGGCACTTAATTATCATATATCACGTTTAATTGTATATATTTCAATAATAATTATTTTATTTATTATAGTCCAATCACAATATTATTATTATAATATAACTAGTTAAGAAGAAACAATCATTTATTAATTCCTATTTCAAGTTCAACAAATGTTAAGCAGCATCATAACCTCTACGAACCACTAGTATTACTACAGAAATTCCTGAAACTGATTCTGCTCATAGTTATTAAAAATATTTTTAATATGTTTTGTTACTTAGTGAGGAATTATTTTGCCATGACTTATATGAACAAAAACTAATTTCTATATGGTTAGCAAAACTTATATTGTCAAAATTTCCTCTAATAATTTAAGTTCAATTTAAATCCCAGGAGACCTTGTCCAGAATGAACCAAAGCAAATCAAATTAAACAATTACATGAAAAAAGATATCCATGGAAGGCTAAGAATATTTCAAAAATTTTAGTATAGAGGTCGAGAATGGTTGGAGTACAGTGTAGAAGCTGACGCTTTGTGTAGTGCAAGTGATGAATTAGGCAAAAGGGATTCAGAAATTGATAATGTTAGCTGCAAATAAGGGTTTGCTAAAAAAGCTCATTAAAATTCAAAAAAAATTTGGCATGATAAAAATCTAAATATAAATAAGAATACTGAGATAACAATAATTTTAGTAAGCCAACAAATTAACCGCAATCGTTACTCCAAAAAGATCCTGAATTAAATAAAATTATAAAATTTACACCCAAAAATGCCCAATACATTACCCCAGATTTAAAATGAAGTCATATCTATTATGGCAGATATGGCGCTTTAATATATTTCAGATAAATAAAACAAAATTGAGATGCCTTTTTTATATTTTAAGGCTGATGAGACAAAAGACGCATCAGGTTGCGAAAATCTGAGCATAATTATTCGCTATATTTTTTTTGGAGAAGTCAAGGAAAATTTAATAGGAATTATTAATTTACAGTGTCTTTCTGCTGAAAGCATTATTCATTGGCATTTAAAGTAACTTTAAAGTTAAATATACAAACCAAGCATTTGATGGTGCAAACATTATGTCTGGCCCAAATAAAGAAGTGCAAACCTTACTTCAAAAAAAAATTAATAAAAAAGTTCCCTTTACACATTGCTATAAACACAAGTTGTATCTTGAGGCTTAAAATTAGTATAATAATATTGTTATCATTTCTAATTTTTTTAATTTATCCAATGCATTGTATAATATTTTTAGAAGTTTTAACATATCTATCCTGTAAATATACAGGCCATGCTCCTAAGAGATTTTTAGACCTAGGTTTGAAAACATCGTAACTCTATTTATGCAAACCTCAAGGCTTTAATTATATTATTTTGGCTAAAACCCAAAGTAACATACAATATATATAGATCATTTAAAATAAAAATTTAAAATAATACCTTTTAAACTTTTTGGACAGACCATTATGAGTAGGCTTGGTTTATTTTTGTAAGTCGATAGATTGACGAATATGGAATTGTTATCTGTTAATAATAATGAACACAGTATTATTGTTTTTTTATTTAAAATATAACTAATTAAAGTTTAGAATCATGTCGATAAAAAGTGTAGCATTATATAGAAATAAAGTTATAAATGTAAAAAATAACCCACAAAATTTATACAAAGAATCAGAAGTCTCACACTCACGAATCTAGATTTAACTAGCTCAGTTCTTTCCCTATTTAATCATGATACTATTTTTAAAATATCATTGGGCTATCGTATTAGACAAATCTTGATATTAATAATGTATCTATTTAATCGTTCAAATAAAAATCTTCAGATGTACATAATAAATAATAAACGATGAGCAAAAAAAAACTGATTACTCAGATTTATTTATTAATTCTTAGGTAAAAATTTAAGAAAATAATAATTTCCAAGATATTAAGTGAAGCAAGCAGACAAAATAAGTAACTCTGATATATATTAAAAATTAGATTTAAGAAATGATCGCACAGATATAAACTAATATATTCATTTTAAAAAATGAGAATAATGTAAGAAATGCCCAAAATTATTTACTTTAATTACTATAAAATAAATAGAAAATTAGGGCCAGAAATAGACCAAATATGGAGATAAATCTAGTGTAAATTATATAATTAATATTATTTTGAAAGGTGATATTTATCATAATTGTTAATTTATAACATTTTTCAAAGAACCATTTATTAATAAATCTCTTTAAACATTTAAGTTAAAAAAAAGGATAAGATATTTCAAACACAAACATCATAATAATTATTAAATCATTATAACTAAAATAATAGTGCAATCTTTTGCGACCTATTTCAAAATATATCATTATAAAAGAGGTTTTAAAAAATCGTCTACACCCAACCCTCTAATTATTAAGACTCGTGGATCTAAAGAAACAATTAGTAAAGAAATCAAAGTATTAAATCTACAAATTTATTTTATAAATTCTTGTTATTGATATCAAGATCACCTTCCTTGATATATATATAAACAATTCTTTTTATTGATCTATTTTAAATATCCTAAATAATAGCCGTTTTATTTGTTTTTTTCATATGTTTCTGCTAAAAATACGGCAAGTTTAATAAAGTGTTAGTCAATATGATACTTTATTTGTTAATTAATTTATAATATTAAATGTTAAAACATTTAAAATTGTCTAATCCGAAACATAAACCATATATAAAAATTAATTTTACCCTTAGAAAAATACAATTTAAATTTTAAGCCTGATAATCATATCCCGATTTTTTTAAATTTTTTGCCATCACAATGGGCCAAGTTATTTCCCGGAAGTTTATTTATGATCCAATAAATTTCTTAGTCAACCCAGGTAGTAATATTATAGATAATCCGTGTATATATGAGAGAACCGAGGCTAGTTGTGTATTAATTTTACATTTTAATACGCTATGATAATTAATTTTTTCCTAATTAGATATTATTAGCGTTCATCAATATTCACGTAAAATTTTTTAAAATACTTAACTATTAAAAATAGGATATAAAATTTTGATGGAAATTTTGGAAAATTTTGAATTATTAATTTAAAAAAAATATTAATAACCAATTTTTTCTTTGTACCAAAATTTGAATTAAAAATATTAATAAACACATATGGTTTTATATTACTTTAATCACGATGAGTAATAGTTCTAATAGGACTTCATAAACCAGGGAACTGACCCATACATTATTATAAAATAAAATAATATTTATCCTTGGTAATTTTGTGGATTACTTAGATCGTGCTAGGATACATAAAAAGGTGTTCTCGGGTATGAATTAAAATTTTCTTTAATTCGGGGTCGGGTTAGGGATTGCGAAAAAATTAATTTGCATAGCTATACAAGTAATACATAAAATGTTGTGACATATAATATTGTAGTAAAAATTAGCGTTTATGTTGCTTGGGTTCTTATTTACGCTCTACGATAAAAACTGAAACGACCAAATCATATAGCAATTTTGTTAATAAAGTAAATTGTGATAATGAATAGTTTTATAAATGAAAAAATGAATAAATTCAATATATTAATATAATTCCTAAATAAAAATATTTAAATATTATTTCTCATCTATATTATAAATAAGGTAAAATAAAGGGAGATATTCTATACAAAATTAAAATTATAAACTTTATTTCACCATCAATAATTTGATTATACTTTTTTTCAAGTTCGAATATATCTTTAAATTTTTTTAGTTCCTGACATTTATTAACGACCGACTCTGTAATTGTCTATTATTTTATAGGTAGGATTTAACATATGGGTTATATTTGTTTATGTTTACACTTCATTGTATATAACATGAATAGAGTGCATACTCTGTGAAAAATTAGTAAGCTATAAAATACTTTTAATTTTTATGTATATATTTTTCATATAAATTATAAAACATACAATTTTATCAAATTTTTAGCGCCTTACATTATAAAATACGATACTGGCCAAATAATGTTCTTTAAAATTAGAAATCAGAATTAATATTATCATTTACTACTTATTTTTACAATCTGCAAACATTCCCATTAAACCAAATTCTTTTATTTATTTTACTTATCTTTATAAAGTTTCAACTACTTCTCATAAAAATCATCAACTTAGAAAATCGAACATGGATATCCACTAGGGTCTAAATTAATTTAAACCCCTAATCCCATATTTTGATGATGGTGTGATACTGAACACAAGACAAAATCAACAAGGTAAATAGACATCATCAGGAAGAGGTTATCTGCTGGTCTCATCCAAAACCATAGAAAATAATAATTTTTACAACTCAACTCCTTCGATAATTCAAACCATAACCATAAAAAATAACGCTTAAGCTTTCTTCTAGATAGATTCAGCACTATCATTTCCTTCTTCTTTCTACTCTTAACATTCTTTCTAAGCTTGGTAACATTCTTGAGCTGCTATCATCGTATTAATCTTATCCTAGTAAAAAATTTCTTCAACATTTCATCATTTATGCTTTACGCTCAACTCCTGTTTTTAGATTTCCCATATTTCTTAAAATATACATTGTAACTTGAATATCAAGGAAACTGTATGAATAAAGGATACGCTACTTTCCATAGTGGTCTGAAATAAAAGTTTCATTTAAACAGCTTACTATCAAAACCCATAACCAATTATCACCTCATGAAATGATTCTTCCCTTAAAATGGACAATCTTATTATCGAAGACTTCTATTTCTGATGTCCAATTATACTAATCCAACAAACAGAAGGATTAGGATAGACCAGTTGTACTCGTTAAGTTTTATTTTTAATTATAATTTTACTTTCGTTATAAGTACAATAAATTTGTTTTAAAAAATATATATTGAAAGTTAGAAAGATAAAGTGTTGTTAAAGGGATTTAAGCTGATTTTTTAAAAAAACGGTTAACTAAAATATTACACAAGCCTGAATATTTTGCTCATAGATGGCACAAAGGTTTGAACATATATGTGAAATCTCGAGATTTATGCAATATTATTCTTTCTAAAATATTAAGCTAGCCTTTTTCAAAAATCTTCTCAAATAGTGCCACATTTTACAATGCGAAAAATATATTTATTATTGAAGGAATATTTTATTCGTCATTAGGTAAATTTTACATATTAATTTTTTTTATATTCCAAGAATCTGTAAATATGATCATGTTTATGTTTCTTTTTTTGTTATTATTTGATAATATAATTTTTAACTAAAGTCCCTTAATTTTTTAATCAATGTGTAGAATTTTTAAAAATAATTTTTTTTAAATAAATTTATATATTGTGTTTTCATTGATTGAAGATAAATCTTATGTTATTCCAATATGATTAGCCATAAAAAATAACATCACAAATATTCAAATCATCTATATTTACTATCAGCCGTCGCTAAATGTAAAAAAAATAATTATTATAATATTAAATAATTGGTGTTGTACGATATTTACTATCAAATTTTACTGCTCATAATTTTGCATTTTAAAAATTAAATATTATAATTGATATGGTTTAATCTAATTAAAATATTCAGAAAAAAACTATGATTATTTTTAATTTTATAAGTTGATATAATTAACGAAAATGGCAATATTTTGGCAACTTTTAAACAAAACATTGTAAAACCAACCTACTATAATTAAAATTATATTACAACATTTCGATAAATTTATTCAAGGAATTAATTTATTACTGTTATTAAAAATTGTTTACTTACCATTATGGACGAAAAGATGCAGGGATAATATAAATAAAATTGGAAAATTTTTTTTCATCTAAATTTTTTTTTAATTTAATTGAATTTCTTTCAAATTTTAAAAAATTTCAAATTTATAATAAATTTTTAAAGATGTTTGAATTATTCTTAAAGTATTTATAATATTAAGAATTAAATTTTATTTATATTTATTAATTTATTTAAATAAATAAAATTAAGGAGTTAAACAACAAATTTTTTTTAAAATTTTTATTTTTTAAAATTAAAGAATTATTTGTTTTATCTCAATATAATCAATTTATATAATATAAAAATTAAAAAAACTATATATTCAAAAAGGAACTATATTTAATTCCAAAAAATTATATTTTTTTTTTGGCGCATATATAAAAAATATAAAATTTTATTTTATGTTATTTTTATCTCACCCTAATAAAATTTTAGAAAATTAATATAAAAGATGCAATTAAAAGTAAAAATGAGCCAATATTAAATAACTTAATTTTACAATTTACTTATCTTAAATTTACTATCATCATGATGTCGTAATAATGTTGATGTAACCTATTAATTAATTTTAATTCTAAATTATATACAGTTGTCAACATCAACAAAAGAAATAAAAATATATTTTACAAAGATTATTAAATTCTCTTAGATTAGATGTTCAAAATTAATAGAAAAAAGCCCTTGTAAAGATAACATGACCCAAAAACTTCTTCTATGTTGTTATGTATCACAAGAAAAAATAATCTTCAGAAAACAGGTACATATATAATAAATAT